GTACTTGAAATAGAAAAAATCGGAGAACATAAAGGAGTTCAAACCTCATTTTTACAACAAAAACGTACAATTTAGCAGCGCATAGACAGCTGAGTCCACGCGTGGGAGAACGTCATAACAATTTTTAGGACAAAATAAATCATACACTTGTTCCCCCCCAAAAGTGTAATTGTCGGAGAAGCATAGGAGATTCATTTTATGAAAGGCCTAATGAATATATCAAATGATATTGCACAAGTTTGTCCAATCACATTACGCTTTCGTGCAGCCTAAAAGGAATTTTTCCTCTTCTTAATAGTTACTAATTAAAAAGAAGTTGCGCTTTCGTTGTTTCCTTATGACATTCTGAACTACTGCTTATGTCAAACTATTTCTTGGCACAAGTGAATATATATACATAAACCCTATCTTCCATGCTTGTTCTGTTATTTCAGACATGGTTAACCACTTACTTGGGCTTGAGATTAGTTCTGCTGTGTAGAGACAACTATTAGCACAACACATTCATTACGTTGAAATACATAAACAATTTGCGAAAAGTTATTACACAATCATGCAATCACAGAAAGAAGTTTTGACAATTATCCAAAGTTACTGAATAAACATCGCGTCTCAAACTAGTCAACTACAAATTCTTGGAGGTGACAAATAATGGAGACATAACCGTAATCGATCTACCGTTAAACATGAGCTGCGCCATTTGGCGCAATAATGAATGGCATTACAACGCTGAGAGCCAGAAAAAAAAGGAGAATATGGACGCTACAATATAAGTGTACAGTTTACTTTTGGCCACAGCAGGAACAGCACCAATACATGAAAATCTCCAACTGTGTAATACACTAATATCAGCGCTGTCACTACTGTTCCAGATAGATACACGTCTGAAAGCTACTAAAACCGGAGATACTTGTTTAACGGCGAGCACTATGCGAAATGGTTGTTGGAATCTACACCCCGTCAGCAGAGAGATCGAGTTAATTGCACAATCTGAAGTGATAAAGATTAGAAAACATATCTAGTGATACGTCAGTATCTTCTCACCTTTCTCTGCACAACATCAGTACGAGGTGAACTCCATCGTTCAATGACGTCGAACTGTCTGTGTCTCTTCACGATATCAAGGAAACTGGTAAGACTGCTGTCTACGGTAAAGTAATGAGACGGAGTGGACAACAGGCTGAAAAGATGAAATTAGCCGATACTCTAATTGAAAACTTGAACAAATCCAGCTTTTAGACACAAACCAGATTCCATTGTGGCTGAGAGCTTCATCAAGAATTTGGTGGATCATCTCGAATTCGTCTTCACTGCGATTCAATAGCTCAGGAGCCAAGATAACATCAAAGCTAAAATTGATTATCAACTTGAAGCTCCTCCGAAAAAAAAGCTTAGGATTTGAGAGCACTATAACCCAAAGTGTACAAGCGCTTACCGTTTGCCCCCAAGCGATTTCTTCAGCTCAGCAAGATTCCCACTTGAGAATTTGCACTTATTTTCGGGAATTGCGTTTCTTCTTAACGTAGGTTTGCAGTACATTTGCAGTGATGTCTTCGACTAAATACAAACAGATAAATCTGGTGGTTCGTAATCATCTAATCTGGAAGAGAAGATATACCAACCGAACTGTGAAGCGTAATATCAGCAGCTCCATTCTCATAAGCGTACACAGAAGGCAAGCCAGTTGCGAAACCAATCTATAATTTTGCAGATTATGGATTTTATGATCCAATAGGCTGCGCTAATGGTTAGATGAGCTTAATTTAGTCAGATGGATATAAACTACAACAAGCGTTCCCATTTGTCAATCTTCGGCGCTTAATGTCTAGCATATTTTGCAAGTTTGCAGTCACGACTTCGCTCTTTCCATTCTATTTGCTACTTTCGCGAACAC